GGTGAGCTTTACATAAAATAAGCGAGGCACTGCAGCACAAGGTCTATTTAAGAAGAGGAGAAGGTCATGTTCTGGTGCAGACATGAGCACATGCAAATGTCACCTAGGATGGAGGAAAGAGGAGGGAGAAGAAGGGACCAAACCCCTTCTTGAAAATGAGCACAAAGAAGCACAAGAGATGATAAAGCCCAGTGTTGGCTAGATTAAGTCAAATCCAAATTTTCCCTTAATCATAAATTTTACTAAGTAGTCTTTCACTGGAGTATTCGTGTACATTTACTCCATTTAGCAGGCAGCCCACACTCCTTGTCATCTGCCTCCTCTTTGTCTCTGATCTACTCGGTCTCCTTTGCTCTCAGGATTTTCTGCCCATGGTTTTTGCTGATGATGCTGATCCTTCACATCAGTTTATCTCCAGTTCTCCAGCACTCCTCTGCACAAGCAATCCGAGGGCTTTACAGCACTAAGGACCTAACATCAATATTTCATCACCTGAAGGAGGTAGGGCAACACACAGCTGCTCTTCAAAAGATTAAGGAAAGCAGAAGAGCCTTAAGAGTGTCCTGCTGGTGAAGTGCAACAGAGAAACTGCTATTTCTGGGAGGATTTTCCCTTGCCCTCTAGCACAAGTAGCTGGCAGCTGCATGCAAGCCCCTCTCTCGGAGGCTGCAGCCTCCCACGGCCTGACTCGCCAGGCAGGCAATGCTCAGGGCACCAGGCTGTCAAGAGCAGCAAAAGAGCTTTTTTCGCCCATGCCTAGCCTTGGCCTTGCTGTCTCACACAGCTACAGTGGAAAATCTTGTTCTCCCAGATGCCTTTGGATCACCTTCTGCTTGCAGAATAGACAAGACAGCACAGAAGCTACCTGTGCTTCTATTCAACACTGTACACTTGACTTCTCTGTTAAAGGTTGCATGCATGAAGTTTAATCTCACTTAGACCTCACCGTGTGCACCAAAGTAACAAACAGGTGGATCATTATGGTATTTGTTTTGCATGTTTTGTAACTCAGTTACTTCATACACTTCCCAGAAGTACAAGACCCAACAAAGAATTCACTTGGAAAAAAAGAAGGGTGAATCATGCTAGTTCTGCATAAACATGTGCTGACAACACAGAAGCAAATACATTAAAGTATCTTCTATTTTCAGAGTTTGTTACAAGTTGTCTTAGGCATCCTGACACACAAGATGGTTATAAGCTGCTGCTTGACGTAAATAGCAGCAATGCCATATATTGCTCACCTGGCTCTCAGTCGGGACCCTGAAATGCTTAGTAGGAGAGGGAAAATGGGGAAAGAAAAAAACCAACAGAACTGGTATGTGAGGAAGCAGCTGACACCAGCTTTTTTACTGCCCCCCAAAAGCATATTTTCCATAACAGCACTGTACTGGTTCCCTTCTGTCATCACTGCCACCAGGGCAACCTTACCACACCTGGTAAAACCTCACCACCGTGACTGCTCACAGGCTACAGACTCGCACCCAGTCCTCCATAGGGCCCTCAGTATTCCCAGTATTACTGCTAGTCCTGCACTCCTCACTGCTGCTTCCGAAGGGTGATTTATGCCGTGCCAGCTACCAGGGCATTTCTAGCAAGAGGAAGCGAGGTACATGCAATCACACCATTCACCATCTCTCCCGGCTGCTTTCCCAGTTTCAGGGAGGTTCTGAAAAGTCAGGAGTCTCCAAGATGTATACTTTCTGGCCAGTCTAATGAGAGCCAAAGCCTGGGCAACACCCAGTGCGCCCTCCAAAAGCAAAGCAGGGAGGTCAGCCTGGCCGTTTCTGGCAATACTCTGCCAGAGCACTCCTGACTCTTGCCCGAGTGAGGCACCACTGGACCTATTTGGGGGGAGGAAGGAGAAGAGAAAAAGATACAAAGATGTAGGAAAATTGACTAGAAATAAGTGTAACATTCAAAATATAATTTTGTAAGTGTACCAATCAGGATGTAATTAATATCAGTTTGCTTTGGACCCAGATATAAGTGCACCAAAATAGTGTATTTTGTTATACTGTGATGGTGTAGCCACACACAGTGTTATAACTATTTTACATATGTATGTGAGTGATGTGAATGCCACAAGGGCAAAAACCTGTTCAGTTGCACATGGGAGCATCCAGGGAAGAAAAGATTGTAAGGCAACAAGGTAAGCACAAGGGACTGCAGATAGGAAGGACATCCCCTCAAATCTACAAGGATGACTGGCAGGACAAAAACTGAGATAAAGCAGTATCAGGAACAGATGAAACCCCCTCCCCTTTAGGGAATGGGACAAGTAGCATAAAACTATGCAGCTTAAGCAATACATTTATTTCTGAATATGTACATGTAAGAGTGTGTACCACAGCATGGTACTCTGCTAAGGTTTTATAGGTATAAGAAATGACCTGAATAATATAAGGTGCAGTCCTCTAAAACTTTTGCAGATAAAATATACCTCACATCTCTGACCAACCCTCTTCAGAGATCAGTCTTTCATTTGAAAATATTATAGACCAAACACAAAGAAACCAAGCCATCAGGTACGTTATAGATGTTTCCAAGTTCTTGGGATGTGTAAAGGTTTGCTTTATCTCACATTTCATTGGAGCCTTACATCAAGTGCAACAAATGTTGAGAAATACAAGGCTAATGCCTCTTCAGACCTGACTGGGCTACCAGCTAAGATGGCAAGTGTGTTCTGCAAGACATCTGCTTTTTTTCGCTTTCACTTCTCTGAACAGAGAGAGTAAAAATGCTTATAGCTATTTGAAAAATTCCTGTCTTACAACATTACACCAAAGTACAAACATACACCTTCTTAAACACAGTTTACCTACTTTGGCTAGAATACAAATTTTACGAGGTATAATGTTTAGTACAAGAGTTTCTAAGCTGAAAAAATAGCTGTACACAATTCTAACTTATTTAAATTCCCTGGTTTTACAGACTACAACTGAAAAGGAGATATAGGCTTGCCCCCGCAGATGCCTAAATAGTAACAATTTCCAATTATTTCCACAGCCAAAAATGCTGTAGTGAAAAACAATCATAGATGCAGAATCATCATTACAGTTAGCAAAAAAAAAAGACCTCATATATGTAATAGAACAAAAAATTAACAAAACTAATGGTTTCACCTTAGCAGAGCAGAACCTATTATGTCCATGTCAAACCCTTTACTATTTTAAATTTAATACTACTCTTGGATCTGTATCATTAACCTTAGTTAATTAAGCTTAACCTTAATTAAAAACTGATAGGGGCTCCATCCCATAGCTCACAGTTGACATTCTTGCCTCCCAGAAACTGCTCTGGATTCAAGGCAGAAAGCCATATAGGCAGGTTAGAAGTTTCCAGAGTCCCCTATGTTACAGGATGAAAAACCTACATGCCTTTGTTGCATCAACCCAGACACGTCCATCAGAAGGATATTCAGACACAGGCAACAACAGCCAGAAAAAGGGTAGACATGGAGCATAAGCACGATCGAGACATATTACATGCACTGAAATAAATAAAGCATGTCTAAAGGCTTCTCCTAGTTGCATTCGGCACCCACCCATGGCTGGCTCTTGATTTAAAGAAAGTCAGTGAAGTTTGCACAGATGCCAGACAACTGTGACTGTACTTTCCACTTCGCTGTCACGGCACTGGAGAGCCAAGCTCCCCGTGGATGCTCCTCCCGTGACCAGCCAGATAAGGGGTGTATGTATGGGGTGGCAGCTGTGGCACCAACAGGGGACAGGTGGGGACAGAGACATCCCCAGCCATCACCGACCTTTGCATTTAGCCAGTGCCCTGGCACAGTCCTCCGCAGTCCTCTCTTCCCAGGAGTGAAAGGGTTACTCTGCCCAGCTAACACTGAGGTGCCATTAATGACATTAAATCAGAGTCACCCATAAAGGTATCAACTTCTCCAATTTAAAGCAGTATCTTCAAACCTACCTGTTCTCTAAAAAATGTTGTTATAAATTAAAATGTGGAAATGTTTTGTGGAAGTTAGTATGGAAAACAAACTTCACAAAGTTCAGGCTGAAAATGCATATTAATCAATCATTCCTTGAAACACACAGCTAGATTCTTATCCCGTTTAAGCTAGCCTGAATTCAGAGTAAGTGAAGATACTCTCACCTAAGATGTCTTCACAAATACCAGATTTCTACCCTAAGTGCAAACAATCAGGCGCAAAACTTAAACGTACTTGCTTGATGCTTATCCACAATTTGTTGTTAAAAAATAAAACTAAGTAAATTTATTCTAAAGAGAAAAAAAAACACCCAACATCCCTTCAGTGGCTTCTGACCTGTTTCTAAAATCCATCAGTCAGGTACATCGAAGTCACTATTGCTAGAGAAACTGGGTCCATATTTCCATGCTGACAAAGAGACCAGAAGAGTAGTAATACCTGTAGGGCTCTTATCAGCTCACTCAACCTTCACCTTTACCAATTCCACTGCCTTCATATGATCTGAATTTTCAGGACAGAAAGTCCTCGCTGACAACTATAAGCAATGCATGACCTGGGCAACACCTGTACAGCACAGACTGCAGATGCAAAGGTTCATTAGGTCAAGGTTCATTTTTGTTTAGGATTTCTGATTGCCCTTAAAAATTACATACAAGACTTAAGAGGTCTTTGAGTACTCAGAAAATGATAAAGGGGAAACAAAACCTCAGTTATCCCATGATGTTTCAAGATTTTGCTTCAGAAAAAATAAATACTGAGATTGCATACACACTATGTTCTCTGACAGTCTTAAAATGCATCTTTTTCCCCATCTTCTACTGAGATTTATTATTATTTATCTGTTAGAGTTACGAATTATCACAAGCAAAATGACAGAGAAGTCTTTTAAATAAGGCAAGACAGACTAACACCAAATGCTCTTCGGAAAAGCATCTTCTATCAGCATGAATAACACTTCTTGCATGGGACAAGCAACCCCATCTCACAGTTCTGTCTATCTCCCATTACCCCGTTCCTGTAACATAAAGGCACTGCTAGGTCTTACCGATGTACAAAAGATGCAGCTGCATTCCTGAAGAGTGGTCATCTTATCCAGGGAATATTCACAGAGACATAGCTTGCAAGTGAGCAGGGGCTCCAGGGCTAACTCTCCAGCTTCTGACTCATCAGCTGTCATGGTGTGAGGACAAGCCTTCCCAGCAGAGTCCATTCACTCATTAATGGTCCCCTCAGCCTGAAAAGAGAAGTCAACAGCTGAAACATCCCACGAGCCACATAGTCACTTCTCATTGACCTGAGAATTTACAGCTCAGATCCATAAAAGCACCTGCACACTCAGATGTACTGCTTTGGCATCTTGGTGCCAGTCTCACACTTCAGCCCATTCAAAATTTACACAGAAGGTGCCTGAGAGCCCACCTCCCCAAAAGGCCTGAAAAGGGTTGGGTTCTCAGAGAACATTCACCTTCCTGGCACAAAGCACCTCAGTCAGGCCACTTAAGATCATATTAAAAAACAAACAAACAAACAAACAAACAAAACAAAAAACAGAAAACAAAAGCAAAACCAAAAAAAAACAACAAACCAAAACTCAGAGATGAGACACTACCTATGTTATATGTAACAGTATAGTGGTTAGAGCCCTCACCAAAGTCCTAGGAGCAGGGATCTGACTTGTGACAACAAATTCTTAATTAAAAAAGTGAACTGTGTTCATAGGTACACATAAATATCACTGTGCCCTCTCAAATGAGTTTCAGAGTCATAGCCCTCCCATCCCTACGAATCCTTCAGGCTTCATCGCACCCACACCATTTCAGTGGGTGTTTCCACTCCCACTTTCCATTCTGGCTGGTGGCTCAGGAGCTCTCCTGGGCAGTGCAAGGCAACAGCAAGCAGAGATTCCCTCTTCGTATTCAAGCACTTCAATCATTAAGCCTCTAACGTTAAGTGATGGGTAACATGAACTGGAACTTCTTCGTGAGTTGTCACTGAGATAGTGAGCTAGCAGCCCAGCGCAAGAGGGGTGAAAAAGGCATCTAAACCCAGGAAAGGGTTTCAGATTGCATGTCCTATATCATATGGGGCTGGAGCTTAAATCCAAGCAAGTAAGAGTATTTCATGTGCAGTCCTCTTTTCTGCATTCCCTTGACTATGCCGGAGAGCTGCCTGCTCAGGTCTGTAGCTTTTGTCCATCCCACTCTGGCATCCAGACCTTCTATCTATTTTATAGGGCTTTTAGGCATCTAAGTGAGGTTTGTGAACCATGAACTAAGTGCACTAGCACTTTGACGGGGAGATGCTCAAAATAGCCGTGCTTCCACCACACATTATGTCACAGCAGTGTTTGGGGAAAAATGTTCTATCCTTTGAGAGGCAACAAACAGAAATACATGCTCATATGTAATGTTTTCTGACCTAAGCATTTACGAACACTGCATCATAATCATAAAAAATTTCAGGACCCTCATTCTTACACAGTAACACTGAAAGAAATTAAAGAGAATATCCTCCTGCTTAAGCTAAAATAACAGAAAGCAAATTTGCAGATTTTATTCACCTCAAAATAGACAGTGAGGTTCAGTGCTGTGTTTAGGCTGTTTAGTGCTGTCCACTCCCATCTCCAAGAAACTTGGCTCAACTTCCACAGACCTGCTTCTGAATACAGTTAGCTGATGGCAAGAAGACCTTCACACACATTTCTTACAAGCAGTGACCTGGTGGCCAGCTGCGCACAGCTGCTTGCACCAGCGCCAAGTAAAAGTGCAGCTCTATTGAACCTAAAAAGCTGCATCACAGCTGAAGGCTGCATGAACATGAAAGCAACAGAGGACCGTGTGCCTGTCAGATCTGACACCTCACGAGGCAAATGGGAGACTCAAGCCCTTTGGTCTGCTTCTGCTTGCACTCCCCCGCGGTCCTAAGCATCCTCCCGGCAGGGCTGTGGGGTCAGATTTGGCAGGATGTCACTGCTGCCATTCCACAGCTCCCGGCACAGCCAGGCCAGTTACAACCATTCAGGGCGTACGCGACGTGCCGGCGAGCAGTGCCTGCTGAATTCCTACCCGGCAGACGGAATGACGGTGAGCTCACGGAGCTCGAGGGGTCAGCGCACGTGAAAACTCTCCCCACAGCTCCCACCTCACCACCCGACGCGCAGCCGAGCCCCGTCCCCGGGCCTGCCCCGTCAGCCTCCCGCCCTGTGCTCCCACCGGTCTGCAGGAAGACACCTTCTCTTCAAAAGCCATGAAATCACAACAAATCGGGGTGGGAGCACACTTGCCCCTCTTCATTTTTACACTTCACAGTTTCCTAGCCTAGCCTGACAGAGAAGCCATCAGATGTGTCCCTTGGGATGTCTTTCCTGTAAGCACACTGTTTTAGAGACACAAGAGTCATCGCCAAGATGCTGGCACCCAAATTCCTGGCCACGAATCCAAAGCAAACTCTCTCTTGAACGGCTTGCTATCACTAGTTCAAAACATATGCTATGCCCACATGATTCCTGGCACAATCCCCACCTGCCACCATGATGCCCCCCACGATTTGCTCCATACGGCTGCAGAGCTGGAGCTCCAGCATGGCCAGAAGCCCTGGAAGGAAGCCTCCCTCTGAGTCAGGGACTGCAATACTCTTCTGTAATTACTGCAATGGGGAGGGGGGAACAGTGAGTCACTGGAAATGCTAGGGCAGATCAAGAACTACCTGTTATTTAAAACTACATACTAGACGTTATCTCAATAGTTAGGAGAATTATAACACATTTACTCAGGTATGCTTTTCAACAGCAGCTGCATCTGTACAGGTAAGCTATTCAGCCCCATGTGGCACGCATCTGACATTTCTTCATTTACACGGTAAAAGATAGCAATGTTAAGAGGAGGGATGTACAAAAGAACAAGTAGGAATATTGAGATGTGGGAATGGATATAAAATGGATACAGCTGCTTCCAAAGTCAGTGTCCTTTTTATAACCAAAAGGGTTATAACCCTGCATGCTTTTAGTAAGGCAGCAGCAGAAGGATTCAGGTGTATGACTGAGGTTTAGGGCTAGGGGCTAATTTTAGATGGCCTAAATCTGGCACTCAGTGTGTTAGCAAGAGAGTTTGCCCCAGTGAAGAGCAGGCTCTCGATACACCGCTCTGCCCTACTAGCAATCAGATGCCTCAGCGTGATGGATGTGGAGACTCGTTACAATATCACAGGCACCCTTTTCCCTGAAGACTGTAGGTTAAATTCAGTTTTGCTCCCTGTCCCCACCCTGCGCTCCTCCTTCCCCCACACCAGGTTGCCAGAGCAGGGCTGAGGTTTTCCCCAAAACAAGCAGAGCACCCTGTGGAAACCTCCAGTAGATGACACCAAGCAAACCTGGCGGAGCTGAGGATCCAGCTCCCACACAGCCCTGGCTGCCTCACCTCACCGCAGCCTCGTTAACCTTGGTGGGGTTCAGCAAACGAAGCGACCAGGATCGGAAGCACGGAGCCAGCTGCACAACCCCTGGAGAAGGCACCGTGGCCACCAGCAGCAGCACTCTCTCTGTGCTTCCTAAGGGGCCAGCTTGTCCATAGGTGGTCCTCCTGGTCAGCCTGGAGCAGGCAAAGCCATCCTGTTAGTACCTGAAAACCTGACCGTCAAAGAGAGAGCAGGTAACACGGCCTATACAGCCTGCTCCTTTTCCCAGAGCAACCCAACCAGCTGGTTTCTGCTTCTGCTCATCAGAATTGTGACTTCTGCTGCTGCTGCCAAGGGAAGCATGAAGGGGGAAGGGTTAATGGTTATGGAAAAGGGTAGCCCCATCCAGTGGCACCTGGGCTCTGAAGAGAAATCAGGCTTGTGGAAGAGGTTCATTCCCATGCTCAGATCAGATGGTGGAAAATATGGGGAGAGAAAGACTTCTTCCTGTTCTCACCCTCTACTCCTCTTATTCTTTCCCAGCATTTCAAGACACATTGCCCTCTCCAAAGCTCTCAAACCATCTCCCCAGCTTTACTACCCTGGCAGAACTGACTTTTCCACACACTGCAGACAAGCTGTGAAGTTCCGCCTCAGTTGCTCTGAATTTTTATGGCTTTCACTTTGCTAGGCTTAGTCCCACAGACTGTCATTAATTATACAGCTATTAGCTCTCTTTACAGCGGCTTCAAATTCCTACTGTAATTACAAGTGAGTTGTCAACAGTTTAGGCTGAAAACAAATCACATGTATGTGGCGTGCAGGGAAAGAGGGAGTCACTGAAGAATGAGTTGGTGACAAAGAGAAAAAGATCGTTCCATATTTGGTGATATTAATAAGAGTGACCTGAAATAAAAGTAAATTGAAAGTCCCTGAAAAAAATGGACCCTCATATAAATAAAATACATTTCTAAGCACTCAGGTCTTTCCTTTCACGTTCACAAACACAAATGACCCATTTAGGATGGAATCCCAAATAAGTAAGAAATGTATCACCGAAACCGGAATACAGCACATAACTCCTCACAAAAACCTCCACTGAACAACAGCAAAGGTGCCATGAGATGTGGAATAAGGATAAACACATCTCAGGGACACTCTAACCCAGAGGAACATACTAAACTAAATTCTGCACCAGCATAAATCAGGGGCAAAGAAGGGTCAAACTGGCCCCAGTGTGCATAAACACCCCTGAACTGTAAAGACGCAAGTATTTTTATATACTTCTATCAGCTACATACACGCACACATTCACACACAGATAATACTCTTTTACGTTGCACAAAATTTCCAGGAAATGGGACGTATTTCCTCAAATTGTACGCTGCCCAGCTTTTAAGGAAGAAGAACTGCTGGAAAGATTCATCCTTCCCTGGCTCTCACACCAATGGTGGTGATGCCATAGAATAAGGCATGACCAGAAAGTCTGTGAATGAACGCAAGCGAGCTATATGTGGTCAGTCCTAGGAGGGTATAAACTGCACAGTCACCAGGACCACAGTTTGCTGAGTGCTCAGACCTGTCAACATTTCCATTTCATTCATCTCCCTGTGAACAGTTTTGCTTTGTCTCTGGGAGGTGACAAAGCTTTGTGCTTTCAGGTAGCACTGAAATGTCTCAACACTATGCACAAGCACGAAACATTAGAGCGTGCTCAAAGCAGAAAGGGCTCAGCGGGGTGGGAAGGATAAGTACAAGCATGAAGGTAGTGGAAATTTTGAGCAAAATATGAAAAACACAACAAAAGCACCAGAGGAGGGTGTACAAAAACTGTCTGCCTTC